GCCACTGAAGGCTACTTTCCACAAACTAAGCAACCTAACTTTTTAAAGGACAGTCCAAAACAAGAGAGACAAGAGTATTTCTGCCACTTCCTCTTGACAATCACTCAAGCAAACAATACCTATTAAACATCTATTATGATCAAGGCCATATACTTGGCATCTTATGGAACATAAGCACTTACAAACTACATGGGGAGACAAAGGGTGATTACAGAAAATGTTTTATGAAGACAGAACTGATTTATCAACCCAACGCGCAGGACAGCATTATGAAAGAGGTCACCGTGCAGTACATGATTATTTCATTCCTTCCACCAGTGTTTACCAGGTGTCCACTGTGTCACACTAGGGGGTTTAAAGATGACCAAAGCAGTCCCTGTTCTCTAGCTCTCCAGATATCAGTGGTATGGCTCCTGTCATCAGCATTCACTGCTGCATGTTCCTTCGAGGTAACTCATTATCGTGTTAGCATGACTGCATAGTATTTTATATGGCATTCATGTGAGTATGTGTCACCTCTTATCTCTCACAATAAGGCTACCCCTATTTTTCTTTTTGGCAGTTTCATTTCTACTATTTGTGGGAACATAGGTACTTCTGATTGGCTGGTTTTATTATCATCAACTGAGCTACATATGCCACTATGCTTAAATCAAGAGCATAGCCACTGTTGATTGAGCACTAAGCACTTAACATTCATTTATTTCTTAGAACAACCCTGAAAGGTGAATAGTATGACTCCCATTTTGCAGATGCAGAAATAAAGTTTTTGAAAAATAAATGACTTACCCAAGTCTAAGAAGGAACACCAACTCTGGAACCAGACAATCTGAGTTATAACCTTGTGAGATATATAATCAGGAGCAAATGACTTACTTTCTCTGTATCTCAATATCCTCTTACGTAAAAGGTAGATAAAAAGTACATATCTCACTGGGTTGTTGTCTGAACAAAATGAGATACTAGACATGAAATTATAAAGCACTATCTAAACGTAAGCATTGCTGTTGTAACTCCTACATAACTAGCACATTAGATTTTTAAGCCTATATAATGTGCACCGTTTCAGATAACAAGACTAAAAATATCTCAATAGCAACATGTTATCCTATCGAAATTTTAACATATGCTTGAACTAATGTTTTAGCTCAATTCACTTCTATGGTTCAAAAAAATAAAAATGATGCACATTATCATAATATTCTGTTGGCTGCCAAATGAAAAGAACTGATGCCCCTGGAAACAAACAAACAAAAACAATTGACATCTAAATCTGGAATACTTCTTTGTACATCTTCTTGCTCTGCCTCAAAGATATAATGGAACTAGGATTGATCGAAAAAAGGATATTAAACTTCCGCAAACATACATCCAGCGCTTACTATACACCAAACACTGAGTTAGGCATTAACGAAACTGAAATAAATAGGGCAGAATCCCTGACCTCAACTAGTTCTTGGCTGAAAATAGGCTGCTTATCTGGAGGAATGAATACTCTGCTGATAAGTCTCAATACACAGTAAATAAAAGAAAACTGGCCTACAGCTTCTACTCCACACGATAATTGTATTATTAGTCTACTTTATGTAATGAATCCAGACTTATGGAATCTATTTCTATGATTGGTTGTATTTTTTCTTTTAAAGGGAATGTGGAGGTTAAATTAGGCAGTGGGAGTTTTTTTTTTCTTCTCCCCAAAGCCCGCCAGTACATAGTTGTACATTCTAGTTGCAGGTCCTTCTGTTTGCGCTATGTGGGATGCCACCTCAGCATAGCTTGATGAGCGGTGCCATGTCCGCACACAGGATCTGAGCCTGTGAAACCCTGGGCCACCGAAGCGGAGCGCACAAACTTAACCGTTCAGCCACAGGGCTGGCCCCTGGCTGTACTTTTTGAAAAATAAACATCAGCATAGGAAGATTTTAGGCAATCCATAAATAGCAAATGAGAATTGAACTACCAACAGAAAGCAAAACATCTTAGCATATGTCATTTAGCTTTTGAGATTGATGTCATGGAGTTTATTCAGTCCCTTCCATAAGCCCCAGTTCTAGTGTCAGCGACAGAACACTGTCTTGGCCAAACCAAAAGAAGAGTGTTGATTCTTTTGATTGTATATTATCTGTAATCATGAGAAATATTGGGAGGTTTAGGTAAGATATACCTCACCATTTCAAAATTAAAGAAAAGTAGAAAAAATCCCCAAACCTTTCTATATTTGATAGCTTTCCAAAAATGGTTTACAAAATAACAAGACAATAATTAAAGAAGTCAAGTGATCAGTGGTGTAATTCCCTATCCCTACACCTGGAGGTTCAGGTAGGTTGAGCAACTGGGAGTAGAGAGTAAAGGTTAACAATGGTATACCCTACCCAACAAAAACATAGATTTGTCAAGAAGAGAGTATTTGCACCATAAGTTTGGACTTTCAAGCTGCTATTTCTTTAGATGTGTTTTCTGGTCAGTGTTTGGACAGGGCTACTGCCTACGGTCAAGAGGCTGAGCGTTGCACAACTCCAGGGAGCACCATTTACATAAATAGACTAGATGTAAACGTCATCCTCTGGAGCTTCATAACATAGTAGCCCTATTCTATGCATAAGGGAGTGGGGAGGGGATGAGGTAGGAAAGGATTACGAGGAAGGCCAGAAGGGTATATGAGGGAAGGAAGGCCAGTAGACACACGCAATCCAGCCCCACTGAACTATGGCAGGTGTTTACACACACCCCTAACAGAGATTTGCAGTAGATGTAGACATCTGGCACAGCTTTCAAACGTCGACTCCCAAGTACCATCCTACCATTTTGTATCACTTTTCATGGCATTGTGTTAGCATCATTATAAAACCATGTACAATTAAAGGATTTGATCTTATTTTAATTTCTTAGATTCAAATGAATTTGAAAATACACGCCCCTGAAGTATGGAACATCTATATAACATATTCAGAATGTTCTCCAGATGCATACTGAAAATTCTGCCTTACATGACGTTCTGCTTAATTTTTGTCACATGTTTTAGAAAGGTTTTGACGTTTAAAAATCTGTCATGCTGGTGTCACAACACGTTTGTTATATTTGATCATATATGTGTATTTCTGAAAATTTCAAGAGTTAAATCAAACACATCTCACTTAAATATGTCAAACACTGTCAATTCCATCTTGAACAGGACATATATTTGTTTAGTTTACTTGCAATACACACATGTGTGCACACACACACATACACATATACACAACGTGAGTCATGAATTCTATAAAGTAATATGCTATTTTATGGCACAAATTCAAGTGAAGAACACTCAATTAAGAACAGAAGTAAATAACATCACATATCTATCACACATTTCCGTGGTTTTTCAATAACGGAAAAGCGCACTTTTGCAAATAGACACTATTCCCACACGTAGTCAATATGAATGGCATCTAGTATATTCCCTCAGAGCATGTTTCATTGGTGAGTAAAAGGTTAGTACTTGAACTGTTAGCATTATAAATAGAGGAAAAACTGTTGACTGAAAAAATAATAAATATATTTAAATTAATAACGATAGCAAAAATTAAATTAATTACAAATAATTATAACAGCTACTATTTTTAAAAACTTGCTACTACTGCTGTGTTTGACAGTTTATCATGCATCAATGCTCATTTATATTTTGACATTGTAACAATGATGTCATTTAGCTCAAGATACTGTATCTGGGACTCAGACCCAGATTTATCTGAATCCAAAGCCCTCAGACCTGCACTGTACTGTCTATGGAAAGAAGTGAAAATATTTTACTTTAAAATATAGTGATTATAAAAAATACATATGAATTTGTTCTGCTGTTTTGCTTTCCTGCACTTACCTGGAAAATACTTTTTTCAATCCCAGTTCACCTGGATTTAGGAGCCCTTTCTAGCTCTTATTAATTTTAAATAGAATTTTTAGTGTGTGTGTGCATGTGTGTGCGTGTGTGTGTGTGTATGTGTGTGAGGAAGATTGGCCCTGAGCTAACATCTATGCCAATCTTCCTCTATTTTGTATGTGGGATGCCACCTCAGCATGGCTTGATGAGCAGTGTGTAGGTCCATGCCGGGATCCAAATCCACAAACCCAGGGCTGCCTAAGCAGAGCGCATGAACTTAACCACTACGGCACAGGGCCAGCCCCATGCTAGGAACATTTTAGACGAAACTTCACAAGATGACTAGTTTCAGCGTAAATGCTTTTGGACAATGGAGCCATGCTGTTGTCAACCTCTAGGGAAGGAAGACACACCAAAATCATCTCTTAGCTGTTTCAGTTTTCCTCTTAACTTTATCACTAAGTTAATATTCCTTTCAAAGAAAGTTATTTAATTTATGGGAATCTTTTCATTCTTCTTTAGGATCATAGGCCACTGGTAACAATAGCCAAAGTCAGAGACTATTGTTAATGTTCTTGTTATCTACAAGCCAGTTCACTCCCAAGATCCTTCTGTGGGGGTTCAGTTTTGTCATCTGTAAAATGGGAATAATGGTTTTTGCTTAATATATTACAAGTAATTTTTAAGGCAACTGCAAAAATATACTTATGTCAAGTTTTGGGTGAAGGAAAGATAAGCTGGTGATATGTCTGTCATTGTATCAAACATTTATTCAACAAATATTTAAGAAACATCTTTTAGCTGTAAGGCCCCTTGAAGGAAACAAGAATGAGACCAAAGGAGTGAGGAATATATAAAGGTGTAACAAAAGGTGATTCTGTGGCATAGCCTTCTTAAGTGGAAGATGCTAAACTCATGAATTACTCCAAATAAAAGAATAAAAATGAATCAAACACAATCTAGAGCACATTACAATATCCAATTTTTAATTAAAAATTAAAAGTCTATTAATTACTTTTTTTTTTGTAATTCATGTCATGATGTAATTTTATATTCACTTTGCAAAGCAGCAAAATCCAAAACCTCGGCAGGACAAACATTCTAACTATTTAAAAGAATCATCTTACTCAGTGTGTTCTAAATTCCTCTTGTTGCTGGGATATGAGAAGCCGAGGAAAGCGTGTTCCCAAAGCTATTTGTGACCACCCCTTCCTCTTCTCCCTAACAAGGTTAGTCAGCTTTCGTGCAGATCGCCCATAGGTTGAAAAAGGTCCTTATCACTGCCTGGTGATCACTGTTCCAGCTGGGGACAAGCAGGGTTCATCCAAAAGTACTGCTTCCTCTCTCCTATTGACAGGAAACCCTGCCTGTGACGAGCTGTACAAGGCCTGGCTCAGCGGCTGGCGGGACAGCAACTGGAGACTTAGGAAGAAAAACAACTTCTAAACGTGGTGTTCGTGCAAGAAAGTATCAGGTGATGGTGAACGGGGAAGGCTAATTGGGGATTTTTAAAAATACTCATATCACCATAGTCTTCCCCAGGCTAAAGAGAATTGTGATATTCACAAAAGAACTTATAAAAAGTACAAAATAAAATAATTTTCCATCTAAGACAATTTGGAACCTAGAAACTTAGCATGTAAAGAGATGGGGTGAGGCTCCATAATAGAACGATAAGTGAATTAAAATGGAGTCGCTCTTCTAAAGGACCTTCTAGAAATGGGTGTCAAAAGCTTGAATTCTTTTTTTTTTTAATTGAGTTAATGATAGGTTACAATCTTGTGAAATTTCAGTTGTACATTAATGTTTGTCAGTCGTGTTGTAGGTGCACCACTTCACCCTTTGTGCCCACCCCCCACCCCACCTTTCCCCTGGTATCCACTAAACTGTTCTTAGTCCATAATTTTAAATTCCTCATATGAGTGGAGTCATACACAGATTATCCTTCTCTCGCTGGCTTATTTCACTTAACATAAGCCCCTCAAGGTCCATCCATGTTATTGCAAATGGGATGATTTTGTTCTGTTTTGCAGCTGAGTAGTGTTCCATTGTATATATGTACCACGTCTTCTTTATCCATTCGTCTGTTGCTGGGCACTTAGGTTGCTTCCATGTCTTGGCTATTGTAAATAATGCTGCAATGAACACTGGGGTGCATAGGACTTTTGGGATTTCTGACTTCAAGCAAAAGCTTGAATTCTTATGTTCAGTTTTGGAAGAGTGTGTTGGGTCCTATTGTTCTTAAAAATGTGCACCAAATTGCCTTAAAAACGTTCCCAGAGGAAGACTTAAAATGAAAAGCACCAGCAATCGAAGAACTGCTGCCTTGTTTTCATGTATCGATTTTCATCTACATTGTTTAAAAGAAACGCATTCATCATCAGGCTTTTGTTTCGACCCTTGATTAGAGGCATCAGAGGCAGAAAATGAACCACATCCTTGAAGCTGAAGAGAGAACATGGATGGGAATGCCTATTCAGAGGGTTGGGGATTTAGACCCAAAGTTCAAGGAAAGTTCAGGGCTACTGAAACAGGGAAAAAATGCCAAAGGAGAGAAAAGATAAAAAGGTTGAAAAGGAAGCCTCAAAAATGAAATGCCTATCTTTGGAGGATGAAGAGAGAAGAAAGCAAATAATTTTACTGAATATATATCTAGATAAAAAGAAAAACCAAAGAATATAATAAATCTAGAGGTAGAGAGGTGACCAGGACTTAGACAATACAGACAGGTAAAAAAGGAAAAAAACTTGGGGGCTGGCCCGGTGGCGCAGCAGTTAAGTGCACACATTCCACTTCAGCGACTCGGGGTTCACCGGTCGGGATCCTGGGTGTGGACATGGCACCGCTTGGCAAGCCATGCTGTGGTAGGCATCCCACATATAAAGTAGAGGAAGATGGGCACGGATGTTAGCTCAGGGCCATTCTTCCTCAACGAAAAGAGGAGGACTGGCAGCAGTTAGCTCAGGGCTAATCTTCCTCAAAAAAACAAAAAGAAAAAGGAAAAGAACTTGGATCAAGTCATCAAAATTGGCAAATTGGCAAAGTTTTGAGGCTTGAGAAAACAATTTCAGTAGACTGATGAGAGCAGAAACTGGAAGAACCAGACTACAAATGAGTAAGTGGTAAGGCCATGGAGAGAACACAAAGAGATAATTCTTTCAAAAAATTGATGGAGAAAAATGAAGAGAGAGAACATTTGAGAAGGAAGAAAGCTGAGGAGCAGCTTCTCACTCTTGAAAAAGGAAAGCTCAAGTGGTGGGAATCTGAACCAAGGTGAAGAAGGATGGGGATCCTTATCTTCAAAAAAAGAAGCTAGTTAAAACGACTGAAATTCCAAAGAACTGAAAATTAAGGTTCGGGCTGCTGTTTAGCATGACATGTAAGCCACACCAGTCAGCAGTTAGGAATTCCCTGCCCTTCTCATTCAGGCAGTTTGCTGTTTGTTTGCTTTTCCTTTGGTGAGTCTGAACATCCTGTGGTAAACCGAAGTCATCCCTGCCCTCTCCTGCCCTCTCGTCCCTCCAGCACCCCACACCCTCAGCCCACTTCTCCCTTTTTTTCCCCAAGCTGAATTTCTCTTGGAAATTCTAAGCTAGCAAATCAAGATTATTAAAACAAGCTAGGGAAATATCTCTGGTAATCAAGGAGGGATTCATTCCCCTGGAAATGGCAGCCAAAGTTTTGAAAAGAGAGAGAAGGAAGAGGGAGGTTACAGAGGGAATGGAGATGAAACTTGACTGCTGAGAGCCTGCCTGGTGGTCCAGCTTCCTGGGTCAACAAATCGGCCCAAATTTGCAGAGCTGGCTGACTCTGTATAGAAAGCAGCATTGGCAATTAGCTAAATCACTGGAGGAAAATATGCTTCCCAGCTTTAAGCCAAAGCTCCAAAGGATGTTAACAAGTCCCTTACTCAAAAATGGAACGCAAACATGGTGTGAGGTGCAGTATAATGAGGGTGGGAAATAATGCACTTCCTCAGAAATCACACACACGTGGGGATCTCCACACCTACGTGCATTCTCTTCTCTCAGCTTGAAAACCTTTCCCTGCCATCCCTTCCTGCTGAAATCTTTCCCAACCTTAACATCCAAACACTACCTCCTCCATCAAATTTTGCAAAATTCCTATACTGGAATCCTTTCCTCAGGTGATGAAACTTACTTCTATTTGGTCAGTGTGCAATGTCAGGAACTGTACCATGATGCTGGAGATGTTCCTCCTCTGCCTTCTCCCTCTCTGCTCCAGTCATTCTCTGACCTATACCTTGCTTTTTACTTTTTAACTTTATAGCATTTTCCATTAACTGATATTATAGTTATCCATTTATCTGTTTATTCTATGTCTCTTCCTACCACAATATAAGATCTATGAACACTGGAACTTTATTTAATTCATAAATATATTGCCAGAATTTTGAATAGTGCCATCACATAGTAGGCACTAGGCATATATTTGTTGAATTAATCATTACACCAAACAATCAGTCTTTTCATTTAATCTTCACAGCAATTTGTGAAATAGAAATTGCTTTGCACATTTTTTTCTGATAAAAAAATTAATATGAGGAAATCAAGGAAAAGAGAAAACTAATAAGTGCTATAAACAATCCAGGCCCTTCTGATGACAAAGCCTTATTCTCTCCATTTACATCACCTACAGCTCTAACCACACGCTGCCTTCCATGCTTACTTATGTCCTTACACGTCATACCCATAGGACTGTGAGCTCCCTAGGGGCAGGCTTAATTCTTCGTATTTCCTCCCATTCAATCCCTATGAGCTGCAGATAGTGATTGCTCACAAACGTTTATTGAGTTGAAGTTGAACTTTCTCATCTCAGCTCTAGACAGTAACTAGATTTGGGACTTATTTTTGCTTACAATCTTTGCTCACAGAAGGGGATGTAGTTTTCCACAGCTAAATCAAAACAGGTGATTTTTCTCTCAGCTAAATGACTGCTACACAGGACAAAGAGACAATAGTATATATATACAAAAGTGAAGCTGCTGGCTGGAAAAGAACCTGAACAGAATAACAAGAGGACATTTAAGGAGGCGGTGACAGTAAGAGCCTCACCGTAGAGGCAGGAAGGCTCAGAGGATGCACTGAGATATCAGAGAACAGACCCATCTGGCTGGGAACGTTGATGGCCACTGGAGTGGCCATAGATGCTGGATGCTTCCATATTCACAGAGCAAATGAGTCTAAACTCTGGATTCTCAGTAATGCAGTTTGTGAACTGGTTCTTCTGTGTATTAGATTTCTATTGCTGCTGTAACAAATTACCACAAACTTAGGGGCTTAAAACAACACAAATTCATTATCTTACAGCTCTGAAGGTCAGAAGTCCAATATAAGATTTTATAGAGGTTAAAATTAAGTTGCCAACAGGACTGTGTTCCTTCCATAGGTTCTAGGAGAGAATCTTTTTGTTATCTTTTCCAGCCTCTGGAAGTCAACTGCATTTTGTGGCTAGTAGCTCCGTTCCATCCTCAAGTCCCCTTCTGTCCTCAAGCAAGCAAGCACATCGTTCCAACCCCTGCTTTCGTCCACATTCCTTTCTCTGACTCTGGCTCTCCCACCTCCCTCTTTCATTTATAAGGACCCTTGTGATCACAGCAAGCTCACCTGGGTAATCCAGGATACCCACCCCATCTCAAGATCTTTAACTCCCGTTTGCATTGATTTAAATCATATCTATAGTCAAATACTCTACCCCTAAGCTATAGCCTCATACCTGTTAGGATGTCTATTATCAAAAAGACAACAGATAGGGGCTGGCCCCGTGGCCGAGTGGTTAAGTTCGCGCGCTCCGCTGCAGGCGGCCCACTGTTTCGTTGGTTCGAATCCTGGGTGCGGACATGGCACTGCTCATCAAATCACGCTGGGGCAGCGTCCCACATGCCACAACTGGAAGGACCCACGACGAAGAATATGCAACTATGTACCAGGGGGCTTTGGGGAGAAAAAGGAAAAAAATAAAATCTTTGAAAAAAAAAGACAACAGATAAATTCTGGTGAGGATGTAGAGAAAAGGGCACCCTTGTGCACTGTTGGGAATGTAAATTGGTACAGTCACTATGGGAAACAGTATGGAGATTCTTCAAGAAATTAAAAATAGGACTACCATATGATCCAGCTATCTCACTTCTGGGTATATATCCAAAGGAAAGGAAATCATTATCTTGAAGAGCTATCCGTACTTGCACCTTTATTGCAGGATATCCACAATAGCCAAGAAATGGAAACAAACTAAGTGTTCATCAACAGATGAATGGATAAAGAAAATGTGGTATATATACACAATGGAATATGATTCAGCCTTAAAAAAGAAGGAAATCCTGCCACTTGCAACAACATGGAGGTCATTATGCTAAGTGAAAGACAGAAAAAGACAAATACTGCATTGTATCATTCATATGTGCAATCTAAAAAAAGTTGAACTCATAGAAACAGAGAGTACAAAAGTGCTTGCCAGGGGTAAGGAGTGGGGGAAATAGGGAAAGGGTGGTAAAAGGGTATAAACTTCCAGTTGTAAGATGAACAAGGTCTGAGGATCTAATATATAACGGGGAGACTATAGGTGATAAGACTGTATTGTATAAGTGAAATTTGCTAAGAGAATAGAACTTAAATACCCCCTCCTCCAGAAAAAGGTAAACATATGAGGTAATGAATGTGTTAATTAACTAGATTGCGGGAATCTTTCCACAATGTGTATGTATATTATAATCATTATGTTGTACACTTTAAATATATTACAGTTTTATCAATTATACCTCAATAAAGCTGAAAAAAATAAAATGATCACATCTGCAAAGTCCCTTTTACAGCGCAAGGTAACTTATTCAGTTTCTGGAGAATAGGATGTGGACGTCTTTGGGGGGGGCCGTTATTCTACCTACTGCACCATATAACCCTTATTAGTTCCCATTTGGGCAATTATTTATCTTGAACAATACTGCACCCAGCTCTGTGGACTAGCCTCTACTTATACCCTCTCCCCAAAAAGAAAGGAGGACCTGAAAAATGCTCTCCTGAAGGATAATGACACTGCGTTCTAGCAAGTAAAACTTAAAATAATAAGTATGATGCTGTATTCTCCCTTTGCCCAAATGCATCATTTCTAAGATATAGAATGAAAAAGGCCCTGAAAATTCTGGGACTCAAATAATTTGACAAAAGTTGTTTGGGGGCTCCTAGTCTTTATATCAACAGCGCTGTTAAGAGAAGTTTGCGAATATAATTAAACATCCACATCTCAGACAAACTACTTAGAAATAGGTCTGATGACTACTGTAAAGAAAGTGCTATAGTCCACATCACAAAATTTCAGTTGCTTCCTTGATTATATAATTTTCACTTTTATCCTTGGGAGAATTATTTGAACACTACAGAAAGTGAAAATGAATTATCTTAAATAAAACATAATTTTGTACTTGGAGAGCAACTGTTGCTTCAGATAATGATTTTAACTGATAAGGAATCTGGAAGTTTTCTGTCCTTGAATGGTGATTCTAATTTTCCCCCGTCTTTTCAAATTTCTCGGTAGAAAGTGGAAAATCTCTGATCCACGCCATCTGTTTGTCTCATCCAGTGGTGCATTCCAATCTCTGCAACAGAAGATTCATGACAACCTGCCAATAAAATTCCTGAGATTGTCAAAACGCAGAATACTTCTGAAAAAGTTTAAGATAAGATTCTTTCATGTTTAAATTCCTCATACACACCCTTTCTCTCAGAGCACAGCTGGCTTCAGTACCAGATTTCAGGTAAAACTGGAAAATACCACACAGAGAGAGCTTTCAATGATTTATTCCATAAACAGGCAGTTTGCCGGGTTGGAATCCCTGACTCAGCTGTGGGATAGAAGTCTGGGCTCCCATTTGTATTCATTTAAACGGCAATTAGCTGGTGACAGGTCACATCCAACTCACTACATTCCATAAAGAATGGAGATTCAGGCCTGCCAGTGAATACTGTCCACGTTGAATTCATAGTGATCACCCTTTGTGTTGAACCCAAACAGGTCACAAAAAAAATGCCTATAATCCTTTGAGTTCCACTACTGTCATGACAGTTGAGAAGCTGCTTTCTAAAACAAGAGACCTTATGAAGTAACATTTTCTGGGCAGTTCCTAAAGTACCAGAGGCTACTTTAAATATGGCACCTCAGTTAATCTTCTTAACTACTCTCTGAATATCATACTACTATCTGACCTACTTCTCAGATGGAGAAATTAAGGCAGAGGGGTTAAGTAATTTGCCCAGACTTACATGTCTAGTGAGCCTGGAGCCAGGACGTAAACTCAAATGGCTTGTCTAGAAAGTCCACATGCTCAACCATTGGACTTGGCAACATTTATACCAAGAAGCTGCTTCCTTTATGAAGGAGCCATTCTTGACACATTGGGTATAAGTGGACTTTCCAGGGAGTGGTGAGAATGGATTTGCACTGATCCATCCACCCATACTCAACGTCTCAAGGAGCAGCTTTGCAAGATGGCTAGCTGAATTTGGGTGGAGTTGTTGGTTCCAAGCCAGAGTAAATTTACTGTGTTGCTTGGCGAGAAACCTGAAACTTGGACTCATTAACATGATGCTTTAATGAAATAAGTTGGTAAGCCGTAAACACTGTTACAAACAATTTCTTTGATTGCCTGAAGCCATATTCTGCAAAGGAAATGAACAGTTAATTAAAAACAGAAATGGTCTCTTCTTTATGGTATACAAGATGAAATCTCTTAGTTATAACATTTTCCACTTTTTTTTCCCTGGAGACAAATTTCCAATGTTGCTAAATATACTGAGTTCCCAAAATTCACATTATATTCCTGTTAAGTGGCTCTAATTCCTTCAAATTCCCTATAAATAGTTCCATAATTTGTTGTGAGATCATCCCTAAAGATTAGGAAGAAGTTCTCCAAGTTGCCACAAATTTTGAGCTCTCTGAAATAATATGATTTTCTCCAGAAACCTCACAGACAGTTCTCTCAAATCAATGATTGCTTCTCCAAATAAAAGTACTTGATTAAAGATAATAATGTAGTGCTTCTTTAAAAAGTGCTGACGGCTTCTCATAGATAAGAAAAAACCAAAAGGACCACTAGATTAGTGCTTTTTACGTAACTAACTGTTCTTTTTTCTTACTAAAGAATGGAGCGATGGCTCCCCAAAGTTAACTATTTCTTTCAAAAAACTTATCCAGTCTATTTCAAGGTTTACCTCACATTTGGGAAGATGCAAATGAAAGAGTTTACATCAAAGAGCATGGAACTCATATCATCCTTTCTAACGATGTGAGCAATGATGCACCTATGAGAATAGACCACCCAGAAGGAAATGGCAGCCACCTGAGGCCTGTGTGTTTCGCACGCCCTGGATGCAGAAACTTTCTCTTGCTGTGACTCTATCTGGAGAACCTCTGCATTTAGCTTTGAGGAAGTAGATCATTCATTTACATGAAACAGAAACCAGATAAGTCAAAGGTTTGATTCCTGTGAAAGACACTGTTTTAGGAGCATGGGAAATAATAGAAAGAATATCGTTTGTCAGATGCAATAGAGATGTCATCTAAATGATATAGTGATATTTATAAGATTAGAGGTAGAAATGAGAAGAACTGAATCCATTTTTTTTGTTTCTATTTAGTTTCTATTTAGCCACTGAATCATACAACTTAAATGAAGTTTGTTCTGATCATAAAAGTAATGTTTAGGGGTTGGCCCAGTGACCCAGTGGTTAAGTCTGTGCCCTCCGCTTCGGCGGCCCAGAGTTCGGATCCTGTGCGAGGACATGGCACCCCTCATTAGGCCATGTTGAGGCTGCGTCCCACATGCCACAACTAGAAGGACCCATAACTAAAATATACAATTATGCACTGGGGGTATTTGGGGAGAAAAAAGCAGGGGGAAAAAAAGATTGGCAACAGTTGTTAGCTCAGGTGCCAATCTTAGGGAAAAAAAAAAGTAACATTTGTTTAGTGTACAAAAATGGAAAATACAGAAGTTTATAAAGAAAATAATTAAAATCATGCATAACTACACCATCAAGAGAATTATAATCACTCATAATTATGCAAATAATATTCCCGTGTATTTTCTTCCCTTTTCTTTTCTATATATTTTTTACATGAATATGATTTCAATGTATATTTACTTTGCAGCCTTTGCGGTGAGATTTTTTAATGTCATTAGTCTATCACGATATCGTTTTATTGGATGTACAGTAGTTTAGATGTATATACCAACATTTACTTCAGTAGTTCTAGGGTAACTGTGTTGTACAATTCCGTTCGAAATTTGCATAGTATTTTTGCATTTGCATTGTATTTTGAATTTGCATTTGCATTGTGTACCGCACATGAAGCACCATTATATGGTCAAACAATTGTGCAATGAGGCAACCCAACCATGACCTAACTCTATAATACAATTTCTAAGTTGCATCAAATTTTTTTCTATTATAATAATCCATAATAATCATTCTTGTACACATACAATAGTTTAATCTTAAAAGTTCTTATTTTTTCCAGAATTTTTATCCAACACTCACAAACTTGCTAAACAACAGTGCATTTATGCCATTCCTACTTACCACCTTTTTTGGTTGTTATTGTCTTTTTTAGTTCAGTCTTTTGCGAGTGATTTTTATTCGTTATTCAATCTCTTAAGATACCAATTTAATGATTTTGTTGCCTTCTCATTATATGTATTAGTCAAGATTTTTTATCAGCAATTAACAAAGGACCCAACTTACAATAACTTCAAGACCAGAAAGATTTATTTCACAACATAAGAATTCTTGAGATATGCAGATTTCAGTTGGCTCATTTCATAGTTCAATGATAACATCAAAGACCTAAGTCATTCTTTGCCATTTTCACGTTACCTTTTGTCCTCAAGTTTGTCTCCTTGTGGTTGCAAGATGGTTGCAGCAGCTCCCAGTATCACCTCTTCACACAACATCTAAAGGTCAGGAGAGACAATATTTTCCTTGCGTGCTTTATGTATCCCAGCTGACATCCCACAACATCTCACCGGCCAGAATTCTATCACACGCCCATTCCAAAATCAGGCTCTTGAAAGGAAAATGGAATTGTCATGATTGGCTTAGCCAGGAGCCTGCAAACTTTTTCTAAAGAGCCCGAAAGCAAATATTTTAGGCTTTGTGGGCCATGTGATCTCTGTCACAACTACTCGACTCAGTCACTGTAGCAGGAAGGCATCCAGAGATGATGCTAAATAACAGGGTGTGGTGTGTTCCAATAAACTTACAAAACAGGTGGCCAGCCTACAGGCAGTTGGTTATCATCCCCTAGCTTATATTAATCAAGATTCATAATCCTGAGGTAAGGAAGGGGTCAGAAGCAATTGACAGCCTGACACGTGAGCAAAACTGGAACTCCAATGACAATAAAGAGGAAAGGTGGCAGAGTGGGGATAAGGGAGAAATCCATTATGGGTAGGCAAACAACAAAGACTGACATAATCATTAAAAAAAGAAAAATTCACTGCATCACATTCTTCTTCCAAAAGCCTGTATCATTTGCTACTCAATGAAGTACCAGAATAGACATTTTAAAATCCTGTGTGCACTTTGCTTGGATTGCAACCAAACATCCATTTCTCCATTCCCTGTTATTTTTCTTGCTCTTCTATACATCCAGCCATTTAGCACTCACTAACAATCTTATTTCTATGATTATTGGCCTGAAACCTTCACTTTATTAACCATGTAAGATTTATTAGCTCACATTTGTTTGCTCTGTTTAGTCTAACAAACGTCTTTAGTTAATATTGTTCTATAGTTATTTTAATAATTATAAGGTCATAATTTTAAATGTCTGAAGGTATAGGAAATTGATTTATAGATGAAATTATTCAAGGCAAGACCATTTATACCTTGGCTATAATGAAGGCTGCTCCTTCCTATGCAAAGAATAACCAAGAACTTATTCTTTTCTTCCAACTTGTTCCTATGCTCCTATGGCAAGACCAGATGCTGTGAAATTAAATCCTCTCTTAGCCATAGATGGCTATCATTGCTTGGGAACTGACACTATCATGGTAAGACTAAAATCCAAACAGCAGTGGCTTGTTCAGGCCAGGGGCAGCCTCTGGATGCCAGGCATATTCAGTTTATTTAAGAGAAAAAAGTAACCTCAAGCACTTTTGGGTTTTTTCTTTTTTTTTTTTTTTTTGAGGAAGATTAGCCCTGAGCTAACATCTACTGCCAATCCTCCTCTTTTTGCTGAGGTAGACTGGCTCTGAGCTAACAACCGTGCCCATCTTCCTCTACTTTATATGTGGGACGCCTGCCACAGCATGGCTTGACAATCGGGGCATAGGTCCGCACTCCAGATGCCAACCGGTAAATCCTGGGCCACTGAAGCGGAACGTGTGAATTTAACTGCGGTGCCACCAGGCCAGCCCCTTTTGTTTTCTTTCAGTTGTGAAAAAATGCAAGTATACAATTCAGAGTTAGAAGCTTAATCATCTAAAAGGCAAATTTAGTATTATGAAGCAACTCCTTTGTACATCAGCTTGCCAGTTCTCCTGGACATTAGTAGAATCTCACTAAGGAAGTTATTTTTTCGAAGCCATAAAGAAAAATTACGAAAACAATTCTTGATTGAGTAAAACTCTCCCATTGACCTCCAGAGGAGTTTCTCAATCACTTCCCCTGTCCTTTCTAATCAGTCCCTACGCCACACCAAGTGCAGAAAAGACTTGAACCTGCGTTTTTCCAACCCAAGTTTACTGTTGCTTTTTAGGATATTGTATGAATTGTGCGCCAGCCATCTAGACAATGCTAGAGGAACAACAGTGTACAGG